TGCCTTTTTCACACATGTAAGACAAAGGACAAGCTCTCAGACTACATTGCTGCTTAAATACATGCCGAGTACAGCCATGTAGCACAACTTTAAAAATAAAGTCACAGTCAGCCGATGTGAAGTAACTCTGGGGGTTAAAGATGTTTGAAACTGAAGAACATGAATTAAATACAAAAGTATTTTTTGTGCCACTGTTGAATTATTAACACCTGGGAGCTGGAAGAGGGAAGTTCTGTTCCTGCAATGGTGCTTAATATTTATCAAAGAGCGAGCTTGGAAATGTAGGCCTATTGTCTTGAATGATAGAGGGCTGAATGGAACTTTCTAATTTTTTCTCATCTGATGCTCAAATACAGAACAAGTGGAACACATAAGTCAGACAGAACAGCAAAGTCCTACCAAGTCCACCAACACAACTCTCTGATTCACAGTGTAGTTACCTGGTAACTGATACCTTGTGCTGTGGGTCGGGTATCTCACACCTAATGTTCAGGTACTGTTGTACTTTGGTGTCAAGAAGTAAGCAGAAGTCATCATAAACACCCAGATAGTTTACACATTAAAAACTATCTGGTTTTACATTTTTAAATAACTTGTTAAAAACCACATTTTTAACAAGTTATTTCTAATTGATTGGATCCCCAAGCTTCTGGTTTTTAAAACACCTTTTCCTCCTCATAAAGTCCAGACAATTTCACCCAGAGCCTGTCACTTTTTGTCAGGTAGTAGAAAGTTATGGTCATGGTTTGTGAGAGTATTATTCTTGGTGAAGAGTCACGGATGACTTGTGCTGCCAGGCTGTCACTCTCAGTTTGCTAGGTTTTATGAGTTTGAAACTGGCTTAGAGTCAGAGGCAAGACGATAATGTAAATGCCAACATGTTCCTAATTAGCTCAGAAAGTGGGTGTAAAAAGGTCAAGGACTGAGTTTTAGTTTGCTGCATGTGTCGGTAGAAAAGACCTGAAGTTTTTTCACAATTTCACCAGAAAACCTGCTGCTAGATTTCTCTGTTCATCTTATTTAATTTCAGAGCCGTAGAAGTGTTCCACAGACGTCGCCTGGGAATTATGTCTGTATGTGTGTGTGTGTTCTTTGTGAGTTATGTGGTACAGTGTTAGTTTAATTAAGATTAAGGAACGTAAATATAAGCCAGTCTGTTTCACTAAGTGGCTTTTATGGCTTCATATCATGTCTCCAAGCTGATGCCTGTGCAGTCCATCCTGATAATGTACTCGTAACCCTCCTGTGCCCTCTCAGTTAGGCTGTCGGCAGCAGATTATATACACTGTGTCCCACTGGAGTCTGCTGGTGTGGAAAATCCTATTGAATATTTACCCTCATTGTTTCAAAAGCATGATGCATCATCTGTTTTACTTATTGATGAAGGGTCCAGCCGTCCTCTGATTCATTGTTGAAGATTCCACACATTCACGCACCCACCCACGCACATACACACACACACACACACACACACACACGCACACACACACTCCTTTGTATACAATCACACATAGATGCAAACTGCTCCCTTGAGATGATGCAAGGTTGCCGTCAATACTTGCAATGGAATGTTTGGACCTTGTTTCCCCATCAAAGTAGTATTTAGTTAATGGAAAAGGAAATTGGTATTGATTGATAACTGAACAGATTCTGCTGGAATTTGGTGAAACATTTTTTTTTTTTCCTGCAAAACACCCAGGGCTTGTATCCAAGTACCCACCACAGCACTTTCCAATGTAGTTCTCCAGGGATTATTTAATGTAAATTTAAAGTGCTTGGGTAGTCGACTCTCACTGGCTCTGTGCCACATCCAGTAATGGAACACCTTTCTTTCTGTATTTAAATTGTGCTACTGGGTGTGATTTATTCACAAGGACCTTGCTTATGTTTTTAAATGTTATCTTTAGTATATACATCATAGAGGAAACAGTCCAGGAAATTGTGTAGCCAAACATTATCACACACACACTCCCAGTTAAATCATCTGTATGCTTCCTTTCATGTGATTGCCCTCTGTGACTGTAGAGATAGACTGAGCACTGAGACGTTGATTACTATTTATTTGTCTTAATGGAACCTTGGAACACAGAGCAGGTGGATTAGGATGGACCGCGGCTGCCTTTTCTTTTTCTCTCTTTCTCTCTCCCTAGCTCTCATCTTGTTTCTGTCATTATGAATGTGTGTGTGGTAGTCGTGTGTTTGAAATGTGTGCCTCTCTCTGCTGAGGTCTCAGTTTGCAGAGTGGCTCAGGTCTACTGGACTCAGGGGACGGACAAGAAATGAAATCATCCTGGCTGATTCTGTCCAAAAGGATGAGCAGGAATGATGGTCGTTATACGAAAGTGACTGGTCTCAAACCCTGAGTCTGGGGGTGTGTATGTCTGAGTCAGTATTGAAACTTTAAGCTGATTTTTACTTAGCTTCTACTAAACTTTTTGTTAACTCATTTAGTTTTCATGTGGGAGAGAGTTGTGACTGAGAGTTTAGACATGTTATCCAAGGCAGGGTTACCTATATATTCAATATATTAGTATCTACATTTTTTTAATATTTTTTTAGAATTATATTTTACAGCTTTACTGTAAATTTATTTGAGTTTGACACATTTTGTGTCACTGTCACACACATCCACATATCTGTAAAAGCTCAAACAAACAACAGATATTTAGGACGTACAGCATGGCTCATATAAGCTGCAGCAGCAGCGGCTAACCTGAGCTTGGACATGCAATACAAAGAAAACCACAATCTTGAACACTTGTTTCATTTTTCCACTATTGTTGTTTTGCAGTTTATTTTTCTGTTTCTGGTTGATTTTCTTTTTTCAGCAAAGACTTCATTGATCCCACAATGTGCATGGTCACTAACCCCAAGAGCTTTCACTAATCTGCAAATCAAGTTTAAATCCTGTGCTCGTTATTATCAGTCTGTGCTTTGTGTGTATATGTTGTTGTCACTTGAGTGTCTGCGTTAGCTGTACTTTACAGCAAAGACACCAAAAACGCAGACGGCAGACAAATGAAAAAAAAAAAAAAAAAGCAATACAAGTGTAACAGAAAAGAACGCAACACATGCACTGGCATTTTCTGAGGGCACAAAGTGTCCATCCATTAATCGCTGTGTGTTATGATGTGACCTGACTTGACACTATGTTGTGTGTGTCTGCTTCACTGTTTATCAGTGCCATTTATGGACTCTACAACTATTGTCCAATTCCTTAGTGGTTCCCTGAATTGAATTATAGTCTCTTACATGCATATAGTTGACCCGTATTTTCTCCTATCCAAGCACAATTCTTTAACCCTTTGACCCTCAATGTTCACATTAGATTTGTCCTGTAATTTGCTGAGCATGTGCACGGGTTTCTTAAAAGACTACATTGTGTTTAATAAAATATTCATCCTGAAAGGGTCAACCATACCCCCCCCCACACACACATACAGATTTTTTACTTGTTATCGCAGGTGCACCTGTGAAGCGAAGCTTGTTTTGCATTGAGTTTCCATGGAGATTTGGGATTTATGAAGCTCTTACAGGTCCACATTTGTCACCAAGCAGCGACAGCACTGTATAGTTTTCACTTTTGCTTTGTTTGAGCTGTACTCATTTCTGCACTTTAAATGTTTGATTCCCGTCATAACGGTAGTTATTGTTGTTTGACAGTTTTGATAAAACTCATCTGCAAGTGTACTAAGGCTTTATGTTTTAAAGTGTAGTACCATTGGACCCAAGGACGAGTTGTTGTTACCGCAGCAACTAGTGAGGATTCCGCAAATAAATACATAAATCTCTGGTTCATACAAGTACAAATTTGTAGATTGTTTATCATGTGGAAAATATATTTATCAATGCTCATTTCTGTTGTATATAAAATTGATAGCTTAACATTTTATCCAGTGTTATTGCACTCACACTAATTAACCTGTAGCCTCAACAATCCTCAACAATGGAAGATGGTGCAGCATCGACACTCCTTCATGTTTCATCTGATTAAAAGGGTGTTAAATGCATATTCTGTCTGATATTCTGTACAAATTGCGACGAGGACTACAGTCTCATTACATGGGGCGCGCCGCGCGTCATAACCGTTAGGCTATCTGACGCCCCAGAAAGATTTTAGGGTCTCTCCGTAACATAGCCATTTTTGTAGAAGGAGTTGTCCACTCCGTTTATGTGTAATTGCACTTAGACATTATTCTTCGTGGAAGCTGATTATTAATTACATAAAATGTATGACAACCTGATTTGGAAGTCTGCATTTTGATCGTGTTAATTGGGACTCTCCTTGTGGTTCTTCCATCCTCCTTATTCCCATTTGCATACTCACCCAGTGTGTAGCTGCTCAGAGGTCTCTCTGCTCCTATTCTCCTGCTCTCATGCTTCAGCTGGCAGTCTGTTGGTTGCCTCCCAGTGGCCCACAAGCATTTTTCTGCTCTTTTTATAGTTATTCTTAGGCTCATCTCAGAGAACGAAAGCTGGGCAGACATGACAGGAGCGCCCACGCACGGGTTGTCTAATGGGAAGAGAGAGAATAAGATAAATAGGAGATACCGAAAGCCTGTAAGCTGTGGTGGATCCTGGAGCTTAGCCTGCTTCATCATGCGGCTTGCTGATGGGCCTCTGGGTCCCAAGTAAACCCCAAAAGGAGCCAGTGGGGTCCCCCTGTCAAAGTGGTGTACAACACTGACCTCAGGGCTACAGCGTGACATGAAAGCCACAACAATGACGCCTTCCAACGGCCTCATACTTAGAGGCTTCCCAAAGAGACTTGCTTTGATTATTTATAAGACTGCAAAAGCAACAAGAGCAAGTGTGTTTTTTTTTCTTTGACTACACTTGTTTATTGACTCATACTTTTTTTCTTCATCTCTCCTTTCCTCGTGCAGATGCGTCTAGTTTGTTGTCGTCTTTTGTTATCCCTCAAGAACTCATAATGCAGGAGTGATTTGAACTGTATTGTTACACCTTTGTAACCTTTATGTAACTTTTTCTTTCTACAGGGCATCAACATAGTGGGGCCCAGTAATGCAGAAGCCACTGCACGACCTCCCAGTCCAGCCATGTACCAGCTGGACATTATCCTAAAAAAAGGGAACAACCTGGCTATCCGAGACAGGACGGGTAGGAGCTCTGTTTATTTCTTCTGTTAGCTCAACAGTATAGAGGTTTATGTAGAGAGACAGCTTCATCCAGCTTTGTTCAGCCCACTAAATGAAAGCCAGCCAAACCTGCCTCTCTCGATTGGTTCGTCTCTGACAGGCAGTGCTGCACCCAGGAGGCTTCATTATTGTATCTTTTGTTCATCTGCTGTCTATAGGGGTCCACCCCCAATTTTATTTATTCTTATTTTTTGTCAATGAAAATGTTTTCTTCCCCCCCCCCCATGTCTATTCTTTGTTTTCTCACATTTTCATTCCTTCTCCCTCCTGACTCTCTCTGTGTAGGGTTTTATTAAATCACACTTCTGGTCCTTCCAGCTCTCTCCCTTTCTTATGTGTGAAGTGAAATGGTATTACTGGGACTGGTTCAGCTCATTCCTTGTGCATCTCAGCATGAAAATTATTTAATCCTTGGCCTGAGCTGGAACTCAATTTTTAGCCTGCTTCCATTTGTATAGACTACTAAACTACTAAAAGATCTAAATCCAGTTTTGCCTCGACTCCACATCTTTAAGGCTTTTAGTCCTCTTAAGATTATAACGTGTTGTTTTTAACTGTATGAGAGCGTTACTCTCCTAAGGTTTCTGTATATGTTTTATTAATAATGAATAAAAAACTCTTTAGAAGACCAAAGTAAGGGATCCATGAGAGAGTGGCACATCATGTCGGTAGAAAAGGGTCAGTGGAGCAGGAGCAGTATAGAGTTATTTTGAGTTGATAAATTCACTGCATACACTGGCTTCTATAGCGGAAAGATATTGAGCCTATTATTGTACAGGACAGATAGCCTTCTGCCCTCTGTGAAAGCATTCAAGTCTCTCATAGTGTAACAGAAACAAGCAGGACCTTAGATTTTCTTACAACCTCTTACAGACAATGTTTTGGGTATGCTGATCTCATTAGGGGGTTTAGCCGTCACCATGACGCCACATTTGAATAAGCGTGCCCTGCTCTCTTTCCTGACTACCTGTCTGTCTGCATAATGAGCAGCGAGGCTCAGAGCTCACCTGTCCTGAGCACACCCACAGAGCTCATTATATATATATATATATAGAGAGAGAGAGAGAGAGAGAGAGAGAGAGAGAGAGAGAGAGAGAGAGAGGGAGACACACACAGGTGAAAAACATTTATACAGCAGACTTCATTTAAAGCAACAAAGATGTTTTAGTGATTGTGTTGTTTTTCCATGTGATGCTCATTGAGGCATCCTTTTAATATGACTATGTACAGCTGAAGCCAAGTCTTCCCACTACATGTTGCTTCTGTGCTGCTGCAGCAGGCACAGAAAAAAGCCCAGACAGACAGACATGGATTTGTGGGATTTTCCATGAACAGATCAGTCTTGTCAGGTATGTAGACTTGAGCACAGCTGGGTTGTCAAATTGAAGTAGTTTTTTCTGCGAAAAGCAATTTAATTCTATTTCCTACTGAGTCACTAAAATCCCATGACATGAATCATACAGTAGATAAAACAAATTGTTTCCAATTTTATCTGCTAAACATTTGAGGTAACATCCATCAATTCTTTCATAAATGACTCAGAAATGGATTTTCAGATTTTCCTATCCAGTGAACGTATTCTTAAAAAAATATGTGAGCTGAAAAGAAACACGTCAAACTCATACAGGCCTGCTTATCAATTATCAACCCTAATTTTTAACTATCGTCGTATGAAAACCAAGATACTTAACCCATCAGACTTACTTTTCGAATATCAAACATATATAATTAATAACCTGTCCTTTGGTTTTGATCAAAGACCAGAAACTTGATCATTATGTTCTGGGAAATATTGTTAAGACAGATAGCTCATTGTCATTTAAGCTGCAACGAGTCTGAAACATTATAGATATCAGGGATTTTGAACACCAGGCCACATATATCAACCAGATATTCTGAAAACGCTGCTCTGATCTAGTCATACAAGTGCTGCATGCAACCAGAGTCCAGGCTGACTAGCCAGACACAAAGAGGGGGGAGAGGCTACTCAGTTTTCCCATTAGCACATTTTCATCTGTCGATCTATATTTGATGAAGTTCCAGGTATTAAAAGAAACCTGCCAGAGCCCTCACAGAAGATCAAAGGATGTACTGCTATCACACAATTTACTCACAGTTTAGCAGACATGTCAGTTTAGACTCCTCTCGAAGTCTTCACAAGGTTTTAAAAAAAAAGAACGATACTGAAGGATCGATAATAGCAGCAAAACAGGATGACCATTCTTTCTGCTGTAGGATCTTTCAGTCATAAAGAAATCTTTTGTAATTAAATTAAAAATAATTAGAGTATTTAGAGTTTACCAATCCTGATTTTCAATCCTCTCAACGGCTCGGGCCCACATTAGCAGGGCGGCTGTGGCTCAGTTGGTGGAGTTGTTGCTTCTCAACCAGAAGGTCAAGGGTTCAATCCCCAGCTGGGCAACGTGTCCTTGGGCAAGACAATTAACCCCAAATTGCTCCCACTGCTTCAATGGCAGTGTATGAATAGGATTAGTTACTTCTGATGGATGATACTAGCAATCACTACCATCAGTGTGTGAATGGGTGGGTGTGACATGCAGTGTAAATGCACACACTGACTTTTGTGTTTGTTCTGACTTAGAGCATGTGCTGCAGCTGCACCCAGTGCACAGACACACACACGTACTAAATGAATGGTGCGTGCATGTAAGATGTTCAACATTTAAAATGCACATCCAAGAAAACAGTTGTTTTTTCTAGATCACAGGAAACGTGTTATTTCCAGAAAGATTTCAGATTTTTTTGTAAAGTGGATGTCTCTGATGGGGGATGACAAATACTGTCAGCTGTACTTTGGTGAGGAGTGGAAAAAATATATTATTATCTTGTTTTTTTCTGGTACAGAAATCTGTGATCCGATCCGAACCATGAGATTTGTCATATGTTGCACCTCTAGTTGTTGGGGAAGCATGGGCGCCATGAGCTCCTGGAAGGATTGCTGATTAAAGCAACAACATTGTGGCTGGTTAACTCCAGCAGTTTCCAAATACGTTTCCAATATGCATCCATTCATGTATAAATTACCTACACCACTTATCCTCTTCAGAGTAGCATGTTTCTGGAGCAACATGGAGCTGAGGTAACAACATGAGTGTCCTGGCAGGCAGCAGCACAAATCAAAATTCTGACAAACAATGACCAGCCATTCACAAATATAAATCAAAAAAACCTGACTGTAATAGAGAGAGATTGACCACAATGATAAGTATATCACGCAGAACATCTACCAGACGTGCTTGCCCAGTTATTCAAAATCACCTAAATGGCGTCCAGTGAGATCAGCTGATTAAATTTCAAGACAAACACGTGCATACAGCAAACAATGCTGAGTGAGGGTTTTAAAATGAGTGTTGAACCTCAGTGCTACACAGAGTCCTGAACATTTAAGCTTTGAGAAGAGGCTTGCATGTGTAACACATCACCAGTTAAATACAGACACTAAAGTGTCTCTTTCTAAAGTGAATACATAATTTCAGTTTTAGTCTTTTTACCAACTGCTGAATAAGGGGTGTTAAAGAGAGAGATTCAGCAATCAAAATCCCAAGATATCTAAAAAGACAAGATCTGTGTACTATGGATGCAATAAACTTATTATAATATTATATATATAAGCGTTTGGTAAGGCATCCCACAAGTACAGGACACAAAGAAGACCCAAGTTCAAATCTTGTGCGAGCTATGTTTTAGTGGTCCTAACATCCAAACCGTGAGAATGTGTGATTTAATCTACAGTCATAATTGATCTCTAGATATCCATTGATAATTAAAGACTGGTCATCTCCATATGGTGCTCATTGGTTGGCTGTTATCTAGCTGAGTCATCAAAGTACAGAGAGGGTTGATTTCCCTCAGAGGTCGGTGCAAGGCTGCTTAACACGAGCCATCCCTCTCTCATTTGTCTTTCATCAGTCTCTGTTCAGCCTGCACAGCGTAAAATGATTCACAGTTTGTAGCCAGGAAAGACAGCCAACACTGTGACATGGTTCAATATTATGACAAGATAACAAATATCATCATTGGATATGGATGATTGAAGTAGACATGAGGTACACAGACATGTTTCACAGTTGTGTTAACAACATACAGCCTGTACTGAAGAGGTGTCGACTCTGATGATGTGCTTTCTTTCCTCTGCTCATTCACACTTTACTTGAATGAAATTGTATTGAAGTAAATCAGAAGAGTAGAGACAGTGAAGTAAATCAGTGGATAAGAAGGAGCAGTTACATCACACCTGATCCTCTCAGGGAAAGACCCTGTAGTGTTCTAAGTGCCCCAACCACTTTCTTATATACTATGACGAGCTACCAGTGGGACTTTTTAGGTTTGTTGCCCTCTGCTTCAACCTGCAATTCCCTGTGGGTGAAGTAAATCAAAAGCGTATCTAGTCTAACACAAGGTGTAGGATGCAAACATACACAGCTATTTACACATCAGCCAGAAACTTGAGTTTAGAGTTTAACATGAAAAGTCTTGTCAAATCAACACACACGCCATGCCGTGGTTTATAGGGATAAGTATCCTCATTTACAAACTCTGAAGATGTTATATAAAACTGATAATATTTAAACTGAATGATAAAGATTTACAGAAATCACCATTTGACAGATTGAACACAAACATCCAGAAATGTGCTCAAATGTTTGGACTTTAAAGTAATTATTATCTGATGAGTATTATTGTATGAACATGCCTTTAAAGCTGATGCTTAAATTATATTTTTTGGTTCCCTGTGTCTGTACTGACATCCAGCTCGTCCATAGACTCCCAAACTGGGCTCCTGATGCACATGTCTGTCTGCTGCTCTGCACCCTTGTTTGAATCTAATCCAGGATAGTCATGCAAATCCACAAACAAGAAACATGGAAAAAATAGCAGCTGCATGAGCTGCAATATTTTTGTCTGCTTTACTGTTGTTGATTTTATCTGTTTTATGTTTTA